GCATGGGGCCGTCGGCCCCGGAGACAACGAGAATCGACGAGATGTGCTCTTCGTCTCCTTCATCTCCCGCATCTCTCTCTCTCTCCCGCCATCTTTCATCTCCTTCAGCCGGTGTTGATGGCGGTGTTCACGTGGGCGTAGTGACGGTGGCGGCGTCCGACGACTGATGATAGCCACCGAGCGAGGGAATCTCCGACGACGTCTCTCTCTGTCGTCCTTCATCTCCGGCGTCCTTCATCTCCTTCAGTCGGTGTTGATGTCGGAGTGGGAGAGGGGGGTGCTGTTGGGGGTGGTGGGCAGTGGAGAAGAGAGAGAAGAAAAAAAAAATGAAAACCGTTTTCAGAAGAAGAAAACGAAAACGAGAAAACGGCTTTTTTTCGTTTTCAGTTTTTCACAAAAAGACAAACGTTTTTGTTTTTGTTTTTTGAAAAGTTTTGTGCCAAACACGTTTTTAGATGGTATTTTCATTTTTTAACTTCGAAAAACGTGAAAAATGAAAACGAAAACAAAAATAAACATGTCCATAGTCTCTCTTATGACACATTTTAGGTAATCCATTTGGTTTAAATCATTCATATCTACCTTTGCCTTTTTTCCCACCACTGCTCTCACCTCTTCTTGGGCTTTTTCCATTACCCTTGGATTTCTCAATAGCTCTGCCATTGTCCATTCTAATGCTGTCAAAGTAGTATCTGTTCCACCCACAAACATGTCCTGCAATTACAGATGAACAAATATGCATAGCGATTTATCAGTTGTATTAATTATGTGTGCGTCTCGGGATTGATTCAAATTTTATATTCCTTTTTTTTGTTATACTTCAATATGTACTATTTGTAGAGTTTGTTAATATAGCATGTTCTTTTCCACAAAAATTGGCGAATGGTGAGAATATTGCCTGCTGTGAGTAGTTGAGAGTGAGCGAGAGAGACCATTAGGAGTGCTTCTATGTTGTCGTCTGTGAGCTCGAAGTCGGGACTGCCTTGCTCTTGAAGTCCGAGGAGAATATCCACAGAGTATTTCATTTCGCGTCCGCCATCACTGCCAGCTAGTGCTGCTTTGTGCTCTTCAACCACCTTATCAAAAAGTTGTTCAATTCTCTAAAGGTTTCCTTCACGGTTCTCGTGAAGCCTCGCAGATTATCGATCCATCTCAAAGAAGGAAAGAAATCTCCCACAGTAAAAGCCATTAAATGCACCATCACAGTTCTTGTCAGCCCACCAAAAATTTGACCGTCTTTTTCTTCAAAACTTTGCCCAAGAACACTTCTACAAACTATGTTGTTGGAGGTTGCAGTCAACATCTCGCTTAGATTTACAAAACAATCCTTGCTTTTTATAAGGCAGGCTTTGCGTATTCGATCAACCAATACAGCAGCCTCTTCTTCCCTCACGAACTGGAATTGTTGCACTCTTTTGAGGCTCAAAAGTTCAAGAACACAGCTTTCGAACTTGTCTCCAATACTCGCCGTAAGAAGAAAATGCCACATCTTTGCTCCCATAAAATAGGAGATTCGCAGCTCATTTCAGGTCGACCTGAGAAAAACTACGTCAAGAGTTTTGATTATTTCTCTTACCATATCTGCAGATGACACTACAAGAGGTGGAGTTTGGCCAATGTGTAAGAGCATTAGAGGACCATACTTGTCGGCGAGTGCTTTGAGAGAGCGGTGTGGGTGCGTGCCTAGCTGG